TCTCTCTCTCTCTCTCTCTCTCTCTCTCTCTCTCTCTCACACACACACACACACAGTTGTCATTCATATCGAGATCTCAGAAGTGACCCCTCTAGAGGTACCTAGGGGAATAACCTGCAAGCTGATGTATAGGTCCGAGCCATACCCCAAACGGAGCGGATCACAGGCACCTCTCGGGATACAACATGCACTTCGTTTAGAGGATAAAGACCTCAACAGTTCACGCGCCGAGACACATGATTATAAATAATCTTTATGTCGTAATTAATAATGATGGCTAAGCCATTTAAATATTCTCATAAAATTAATAGTAAATGTTCTAAAATGATAATACAATTCATTTAAATGTTCCTTAGAAGCGCTTAATTTTTGCTCCTACTGGCTGTATTTTAATTTCAGGATTATTTCACAAAGCCATAATGCAAAGTGGATGTGCACTGAATCCTTGGGCCACTGCAACCAAACCACGAGAACTAGCTTTTGCATTAGCCAAGGATCTTGGCTGCTACGCCACCAGCTCCGAAGAAGTGCTTAATTTTCTGCGCAACATTTCAGCTCGCCAGTTAATTGACACGTATGATAAAATTAAAAAGCAGCAGGTGATAAAAAGTTTACTTACAGGAATTGTTATCACTTTGTCATATAAAGTTCCAATTCTGTTTACGTGTCGAAATTAAATGTTTGTAGAGTGGCATGAGACGATGGAGATTCGGCCCAGTTCCTGAAGCAAACGCCCGGCCAAACGATCAAATATTTCTACCTACTTCTCCCAAAGCTCTGCTGGAAAATGGAAATTTCCATTCTGTTCCGTGTATTATAGGGATTACCTCACAAGAAGGTATAATTTCACTCCAAGGTAAATTCCATTTTCTTGCTGATTTTCCTAGGAAAATAATTGTATATATCCTTCAAATTAAAATGTTTTTTTACATTTGAAAAAAAATAACTAATGAATGTAGATATATGCAAAATTTTCTCAATTTTTTCTAAAAAAATACGGATAAGAATACTTAAATCGAAGCTTTAAATAATTTATTTATTGATCATCTGCAGCGCAGAGAACACGTATAAGGTCGTTATTAAATGAATTGTAGTTTCGTTGTAGTAAATGGCATCCTGAAGAATCCAGCTTTATTACGAAACATTGATGATCGATTAGATCCACTCATTCCTCAGGATGTTGGTGTTGATAATAATCAATGCAGTATAAGAGAAAAGATTAAAGAATTTTATTTTGGCAATTCAAGTAATGGCGAATCAGCAATGGTCCAGTACGTAAATGTGAGTACATTTCTTTATTGTTTTGGATATATTTATTCTGCAAATAGCTGAGCTGGTGGCAGCCATACATAATAATAATAATAATAATAATAATAATAATAATAATAATAATAATAATAATAATAATAAGTACTGTACCCGTGTGAGAACTCTCGCGTCGGTAATCCCGGTCCTTTCCTTATTCATTTCCTTATCCTTTCCATTAAGGAGGAAAGTTTGATGAAAAGTATACGAAAGTTTTCAATAAATATTTATTCAGTATAACAGAAATACGTTCTTCAAACAATTCACACTTCCATAAAGAAATATTTGAAATAATTATTCAATCTTCCTTGAGAGTTAGCTTTTCGCTTTCCTTGATAGTCACAAAAATATTTTTTTTAATTTATTTTTTTCTGCCTGTTCGGCATAATATGCCTTTCAGGGGTTTTAATTTACAATTTATTATTACACATAATTTTTGGCCTTTCGGCTGACAGTATTTGAGGAGGACCACACGGCTACCTCTCAAACAAAGTCTGCAGAGCAGTAATTCAAAAGAAATTTATTTAATTTTCTTTTTTTTAATGAATGCATTAATTTGATTTTTTTTCTAGCAGCGGAATTGATTAATGGGAGGGGATGGAAATGATTCTAATTTAAGGTGGTTTAAGAGAGTCTTTGGGGTATCGAGAGATAATGCGGGTTGGGATGGAGCATTTTTGCCAGATCAAATATTTGTAGCACTTGATACCGACGGAAGAAGGGTGAAAAATCTATTACTCATCCGTTGAATATATTCGCTAATTGAAAGGAATGTTTAGCTCTCTGGGATTTGCATATTGGAATAAACCAAGGGGCTTGTACGGCTTTTTCTTAATACTTGTTTTGAAGGATTTGTAGTTTATCTTAGATGTGTCGTTTGCTATATTGTTCCAAACTCTGACAGGCGTTGTTTAATGAGGGTACATTTCGTTTTAAATAACTTGATTTAATGCGCAGTCCAGACTAAGCGATGACTTGTATATAATTATGGGGTAGAGTTTGTTCATTTTTGCGTATGTTTTGTTCGTTAGTTTCTGTGAATGTTGGTTTTCCATGTGAATTTTTTGATCCAGTAATACACCCAGATTAATTTACGGGCGTTTCATTACAAGCTAAGGAAATTGTCAGTATTATTAATTTTAATTTGTCGTGGTTGATGATATTTTTCTAAGTGAGAATATTTAGGCTGTCTGATTTTGGTTACGGTTATGCAATTTCTCCATTTCATTGTCCATGCGACAAATCCATTTTAGTCGGGACGATGTTTTGAATTTGACGTTAATAAATACGTTCATCTGCATAAAGTGCTATTCTGAGTACGTTCATTCTGATAGGTCTGCCTATATATTATTGTTGAACACATAAGGGAGAGAGTGGGGACCTTGCGCACGCCGGACTTTAATGATATGTGCTCATTGATTTATTGCTTATTAATACTAACTTTGAACTTCCCTCCTCTGACAGAAATGCTTTTAATAATATTTTGGAGGTAATCGGGGGTTCCCTAAGCGTTTGCAACTGTAAAGTAGCCCAAGATGCCACAACTTTATCAAAGGCATGTGCCGATGTCAGAGAAAATTGCAGCTGTGGTACAACTCGGTTATGAAATGCCTTCAGGCAATGACTCCGTTTACTCTTAGTAGTTGCGAGGTTGTGGAGTGGTTTGGACGGAATCCAATTCGTATTGTCTTAGCGGCATTTGTTTCGGTAAAAGATTGAATAGTCGGGATTATATAGTTTTCGATATTTTGGCAAAGGTCGTTAACAAACTAAATTGGTTCTATAGCTATAGGGATTGTGGATTTTGTACATTGGCTTGCAAATTGGTGTATATAATAGCAGTTTTCAGGTCTTTGGATAATAGCCTAATCTTAGAAAAGCCATTATTAAGAGCTGTTAATTGCAGTATTGCCATTGCGAGGTAATTCTTTCATATTTTATTAATTCATTAAGTTCATGGCCTGGCTGATTTCTCCGGTTTTAAAGTCTTAATTATTGGTATTGATCCAGACACGGGATTATTAAAATTTAGTTTTTGTTGGACCGGAATATCGCGCTGCGGTATTGATAAATTTCTTCCACCTCTAATTGGAATCATGTCGGTTACCGGGTTAGTTTGATAAATTATTATCTCAAAAGATGTCGCTAGAGTTTCAAGCTTTTTCGAAATCCCGTCGTTGCTAGTCCTGAGTTAGAGGATAACTGAGGATGAAAGATTTTCCTTTGTAATCATTTTAATGTATTTCCACATTTGTTCTGGAGTTTGGAGGGATGCTGCCTAAAATTTTTGAAATGTGTACACCTCACCATATGTGAATTCTTGTTTAATTTTTACTATACGCGGTTTAATTTTGTTCACAGTTTTATTACGTGATATTGCCACATTCTACGAAGGTTATGTTTTTCTTTATTAAATTTAGTTGTAGTTTAGGTTTAGTAGAGTATGATTTTTGGTGAATTCCTAACTTTAGTAGATGACCTTTTATAGCATTTTTAATAATGTTTTCGAGAGAATTGAACAACTCTGTCCTATATACAGATGATGTTTTAAGATTCATAGGATACTGACATTACGTTTATTAGTAATGTTTCATACATTGTCCCAATTTACTTTTCCCTCAATAATGTTATTCGTTTTTTGATGAGTCTGAAGTTCAGCTTTGAACGAAATTATTACTGAATGTGTCTGAGTCTAAATTCTGGTTTTACTATTTGTATAAATCAGAATATTTAAATTTTGTGTAGATAACTATATCTAGAATATCCGGACTGATTTGGGGTTATAAGGGTGTATGTGGGCGCTAGGAGGACTAGTTAACTTTAAGATTTCTTTGCTATCGCGAATTTACTGAGCATTATTATTTGAAAGTAGTATTACAAGTTCCAAATTTGGTTTTTCAAATTCGGTCTACTGTAATATTATTTGCGATCTACATCAAACAATGCTTTTCAAGAAATTGACGGAAACCTTTTGTTGGGAGTTTATTATGCTGCAATAAAGTTATGTTAGAAGCAGATAATCACTTCGATTTTGATAAGAATGGTTTCTATGTGTTGAGCGATGGGATTGTATCAGTGTATGTTTAATTTTTCTATGTAATGAGATCTACCCGGCTACCTGATTGTATTTGTGATTCGATCATTGCGAGTATGATAAATCATTTCGGGCTTCGAATTTTTCTATACTGGGTTAAATGTGTTTCTGAAAGACATGCAACATCATGTCGTGAACTTGTAGGAAGTATCTTAGGTTATTCTTTTGGCGCTTTACGCATTGGCAATTCAGTTGGAATTTTGTGAAGTTTTCTATTTTTATTTTTGCATTGATATTACAGAAATAAGCCTTGAACCATTTGATTGTACGAGGAATGATTGCAGAAATGAAATTTATTTATAATTGTTTGGTTAGGTTTTCGTTTATTATATTCATATTTTGGAGGACTGGGGGAGAATTCCTGTTATCTGGCCTAGGCGGCTGACTAGTGCGATAAGCGAAAGTTGGCAAGGGCGTTGAATTACGCGCAGAGGAGCGGAAACTCTTGAGCGGGCATAGTGATAGGGTTGCTTGTTCTGATTTAGTTGGTATTAGAGAACTGTCTGTTTGGCAGTTTGTTGCAGCATGAACATTTTTGATAACCTGATTCCAATTATATTGTTTAACTCGCTTCTTTGTAACTTTGCAGCCTTAATAGTTAGCCGTGTGCTCCCCACTGGAGTGGGGAGTTAAACCTAAACATTATTATAGTTAGGTGTTAATCACATTGCGAGTAATGATGGCTTTTCTAAGCAATCTCACACATCTAGGTCGCCTACGGCAATTTGCTGCTGAATGACCGAAGATCTGACAATTTTTGCACATGATGGGGTTTTAGACTTTATGCGAATTTGAACTCTGACAATGCTGTATATAACTGATTTATTTTTAAAATGCTTTGTTATTTTTCATTATCAGTTAGATCGACCGCAACGGTAGTTAACGGTTTACGTTCTCTTCCGAACAGTCTAACAACTTTTAAAACCCAAAGTTTTTCGAATAGTTCGTTAAATATTTCCTCTTCTGAATAGGTAATTGGCAGATTTTTTATGACAACTGAAAAGTTTTTGGGTAGGATCCCTATATGTGTGATGTCTCGACTTTCTCTTTTTCACAGAATTTTCGATATTCTCTAAAGTCCTCTATTGAGTTGAATTTAATTTTATAGTTGTCTTTGTCTAATTTAGTAGAAAAATTGTTTTTTGTAATAGCATTTTAGTTCATGATAAATAGGGGATAGTCGAGTACTTTATGGACATAAAAGGGAGGTATTTTTAATGATGGATTCTCACTTTCTTCCCTTTCGTTTGGCGAATTTTCTTCGGTCATATTTTGAAAACCTTGGTACCTATTTTTTACGGGCACGTTATTACATATTCTTTTAGAAGCATTTTTTCATCTGGTGGTCTTAGTGCATGCGTTTTAGACTTTTACTAGTTTCATTAAAAACACTGGTTGACTGTTGACTAACTAATTGTTGCGGGGCAAGTCCATACCTGTTAAAATAAGCATCTTTAGTGCTTACTGACTGAAGGTTGGTCAGAGTCCCCGCCTCTCCATCCAGCTGCACGGCGGGCGGTTGTGATGTGTTGAACTGTTCCAAGGGTTGAATATTTTCCATTTGTGGTGGAAATGGAAGCACATCTCCATTCATTGCTGTGAACTGATCTGGCGTGTCACCATTTAGAACGTGGGCTGCTGACACCAATTGACCCCCCAAAAGCGGGGGCACTTTGTTGCGAACATACAGCTTTCGCTGCACCACTAAACTTTCACTGAGTAACACACATATTTTCGTTATGAGCAATAAACAATCTATTTCACTTAAAAAAACACCACTGTTAGAAAAATGGGGAGCCGGCTGGTAGCGGGCGCGCCGTTTGTACTTTTCACTAAACACGAGTTTGAAGCGTAACACCGAAGCACAGCGATAAGCGGAGCGATGCGATGCTTACGCCACGACGTCTAGAGCGAGACTGGAGCAAAAATATTAGAAAATGTTTTTACTCTTGAGAAAGCCAAGTAAAGTTTTCAATGCGAAAATACAGAATCGTGTAAGTGCAACCCTACGTTTTGCAATATTATTTATATTTCTTGGATTTGTTATAAGGAACAGAGGGGTTTTGGAGGAGCAAATCTTGCTTGGATGCGAAAATTGTAAAATTATTTGTATACTAAAAAGTACTGGATAATTATCAGTGTTCTTTCATGCCCCATAAAGTAAATTCCTAGCCAAATATAATAAAACTAATATTTTTACCTTTGAGTAATGAATACCATTTGTTACCATTAGAAACAATTCAATAGGCTTAGACTTCACTTCAGCAATGGGAATGTTGCTCACACGATGTATATGTACGGGATATCTTGGCAAACCGACACCTCAAGTTTAATTTCCAACGGTGTATTATTTAAAATATGAGTTTACAGCTGGGTATTGATGTACAGACTTTCAGATACCGCCAACATATAAATCGTGCATCTGAATTATCATCGTCGGCAGTTGTCAAATGACCTGCACTATTCTCTCTATAATTTTAAATTTGGTTGCTTTTTTTATTCACTCACGTAGTATTGGAGGCTCGCGCGTTTTCATTTTTGTTGTTCATTTATTTCAAGCTACTTTACTTTAGTTAATTTAAAAAGTTTCTTTGATCTTTGTGTTGTGTCAGAGCACAAATTTTCCCCAACTACCACCGTGTACCCGTGCGAGAACTCTCGCATCTTGAATCACACTCTTCCCTATCTTTCTATTTGCATTCTAAGCGAAAAACGTATTTATTTGTTAAAAAACGTATGAAGGTATGCCGTATCTTCCATTGTACTAACACAATATCAAATAAAAATAAAAAAAAACACTGCAAATAATGTGGAAAATAAATTTCGATTAAAGTTTTATTCTGTTTTATCGAAAAATTTCTTGGAACAATTTACAAGACTGCCTTAAAAATATATGAAGTAATTATTCAATATTCTTACAGTTAGTTTTTTTGCTTTTCGTGATAGTTACAAAAATATTAAAAAAGGTTTTTACTGTTGTATAATTATATGTAATTATAATTATATATATATATATATATATATATATATATATATATATCAAATATATACCTATTACACATGCAAAATTAAATTTAATTATCCTTTCTATTTAGATATACATTATATTAAGGCGCATTGTATAAGGGGAAGGGATTTTTATGCCAGATACCTACTAATTCTGCAAAAAAATGTCGATAACATGTACTACATTTACACAAGATCTCTATATTTTGGCATTAGAAATCAAGGCTGCGAGCAGAAGTGGGAGGATTGTTTATTTTGACTATTGTATCAAATATATTACTTGTTTTTCGATGCAAAATAATTTTATTACAAGGGAGCAAACATTTTTGTTTATCAGATTTTGCCAACAACGCTCGTTGCTAATGATCAATTCAACTAATATTAGTAAAGGGCCGGAGGTTGGTCTATGGGGCTCAAGAAAACGTGTGCACACGATATGTAGGTGTAATATTAATAAAAGCTGAGTGCGAAATTTCCTTTCCGAACTTAATAGTGAAAACCTGCGTCTAAATTGCATTGTTGAATACATTTCACAATTCTTATTCATTACAATATGAAATGAATCATACGAATGTAATGAATGAATTATCCGAAATGAATAATAAATGAATTATCCGTAAACTTTTGTTGATTTTTTTTTATTTCTTTGCTTCAGTGCCCATGATTGTTTTGATAACCATTCCAAGTTTTTACAAAATGAACAGAATGTTTGCTCATTCATGTGTAATAACCGAGTGCAGAAGTTTTTTCGTATTTGCAAATACAAAAATGGACCCACAATTATTACCATTATTATTATTATTACTATTATTATTATTACTATTATTATTATATGATTATTATGTTCTTCTAAGTACATACAGTCGAGAATATATGATTTCTGTTATTCCTAACACAACCACACTAGCTGATCTCGACAGCAAAAAAATAACTTAAGTGTGCTCAACCATGCTTAAAAACTCGCAGTTTTTACTTATGAAATGAAGAAAAAGTTAATTTTTATTCACGTTATTTTAAGTAAATGCTGGAAAAATAAGTTATTACCTACAGATTTATTTACTACAAGTAAAAGCTAGTACATAGAAAAAAGAACAGTTGCAGTATACCAGATCCATGATACTGTAACAAGGGAACTTGTTACAGTATTAAGGATCTGGTATACTGCAACTGTTCTTTTTTCGTGTACCTAAGTTGTATCCCTCGAAACATATATATATATATATATATATATATATATATAAATATATATATTTACTTAAAATGCTTCTAAACGCATTTATTCACGTAGCCCTAAGTCTAATCAGGTATTAAACTTAGTCTTTGTACAGACATGCCTGAATTTAGTGACACTTCAACTAATGTTGTAAACATTACTACCCGACAATTTATAAAGCCTTGAAAAACAAAATGAAAGTCTTGAACACAACATTTACGGGCGCTAAATGCACTTGGTACAATTATGTGTCAAACTGTCGTACGAATTCATATTTTTATCAGATAGAAAAAAAGGCTTCTTTCTCTAGATTTCCTATGGTTCGTGATTTGAAACATTATAATTTTTTCTTATCCTTTTTTCCTATTTTCTTATAATTTATTTGAAAAGTTTGTTCTTGTCTAGTTTGCTTCAGACGTTCATTTCACGAGAGGGATAGATAGAACTGTAAACTTGTTGGCAGCAAATGCAACACCAGTGTTCTACTACCACTTTTCCTTCAGTGGTAAAATGAACATTTTTAAAAACTGGGCTCAAGCAACAAAACTTACTGGTAAGCCTTATCATTGTTGGCATTAAATAACACTTTTAAAACCTGCCACATTCAATAATAACGTAATGAATTTAGGAGCTGCTCATTTAGATGATGTGGGCTATCTCTTCACAAGTAAATTTTTCAACGTACCTGAGGTTAATTCTGGCTCATCTGAGTGGATAACTCGCGAGAGGATGGTAAAATTGTGGACAAATTTTGCAAAAACAGGGTAAGTAATTAGACTAGCTGAGATATGGGGATCGCTACCCTAAGGGGGATGGGAGGATCCTCCCCTACAAATATTTTCAAATACTTCAACAATTAGTTTAATTTTATTCTAATTTTTTACCCAAGATATTATGAGAACAACATATAATGAAGACAATTATATGTTTACTGCTAATAAGCCACTGAAATGATAACTTGGTGTATAAACATATTCTTGTGTCTTCTGAACTCCCTGGAGGTAGAAATTCCTCGCGAACGTGCACTCCGCCTCATAAACCCTTGATACGTTCGATGAGAAAATTGAAATAAAAAATAGGAGCAGTTTCTGAGAAAAAAAATTTTAAAAAATTAATATTGCCTATATTTTGTTCAAAAATACATGAAAACCACTCATATTTCCGAAAAATTCAACATGATCTTGTTTCAAGATGTCTTTAAAGAACAGATTTCATTAAGGAAAAATATGTATCATCAATATTCTAGTTGTAGAAAGACGCCCCAAAAATTGCACTTTAACAATATTTTGAAAATCAAGTATTTCAATTATCATGAGATTAAGCATTCTCTACGCTATCCGAGGGCCAAGTTTAATCAAAACATTTAGTGTTATTTTACAGAAAATTTTAATGAGGTTTTTGAGGCATCATGTAAAGTACTTCAACAATGAAAATATATATTTGAAACTCCCGAAGCCTCGAATTCGTTTAGATTGAACCAGCAATATCAATTTTGGAGAAAATTGGCAAAACGGTTTGGACGCTGAGCACAGACGGGCAGTTGTTTTGCGGTCAATCTGTTTTTCGGTGCCAAGGATCCACAAAACGTGGATTATGGCTACACTATGTGCTAGAGAAAATAATTTACTGTATATATGGACAGGATTTATCTACTTTTTCGTTACCATTGCCCGACAATGAGAGTTTTTCTGTCGCAAATTCGCCATTTTCTAGCGCAAGGGTGTATAGTTTTCTCTCTGCCTTCATTCGTAAGGGCAAGAAAGTAAAAATATCAAGTTATACCGCATCTCTTCAGTACGATGGGTCATTTCCATTGAAAAAACACTTCTATATATTCTTCACCATCTTAGCCCTGAATGACCGCTTTACCATTTTGATCTCCGAAGCGTAGACTCTCGAAGACAGCTTTTTATTCATTTTTTGCGTGTGTATTTTTGTTCGAGTGCGCGAACGGGAAGAAGGGTCATTTGGTTGGCTTGGGCCATGTATGTTTCCACCCTATGCCCAACATACTTGACTGTTTGACCTCAAAAAACAACAACAACTGAGTTGCTCCATAAGCCCCAAGGGTACCCTAGGCTAGGTGTTATCACTAATTTATTACATAACTTCAAAAATAATTTTTATTTAGAGAAACTTCCAATTATTATTTCAGGTTGCTTACATTCCGGACATATTATTTTTTGACTCCTCGACATCCGGTCGACTGTCAATTCACTACACAATCCTTAGTAGTTCTAGAACTTCATTTGCACGCATGTCCTCTAACATTGTCATGTAATTGGTATATTATGCATCTATTATAACCTAAATAAAGTGTTTTTTGCATTCTTGGCTATCCGGGATGAGCCGCGTCTCGGTTAATTGTACTGACGTTTCGACCATGTTGCTGTGGCCTTCTTCAGAGCTATACTTCTGAAGCAGCCAGCAGCAGATAGACAGAAACAGAGCGAGCGAGCGAGCGAGCGAGAGAGAGAGAGAGAGAGAGAGAGAGAGAGAGAGAGACGGGGAGTGAGAGAGAGGGAGGAACGGAGAGAGACGGAGAGAGAGAGACGGAGAGAGAGAGAGACGGAGAGAGAGAGACGGAGAGAGAGAGAGAGATGGAGAGAGAGACAGAGACGGAGAAAGAGGGAGAGGCGAAAGGAGTGGGATAGACGAAGAGAAGGGAGAGACGAAGAGGGGTGAGACGAAACGAGGGGCAGACGAAGATGGGGGAGGAAAAGAGGGGAGACGAAGAGAGGGAGAAACAAATAGGGAAGGATAAAGAGGGAGATGAAAGACAGAATACGCCTGTAATAAAAATAATCACTAATTTGTTTACAACGGTACACACGTGTCAGAACTTTCGTGGAATTTGCGTTTATAACACATCTACTAATCGTTCCAAACAAAAAAAAAAAACGAAACTTTTAAATTAAGAAAAACTCATTATCTTATCTATTTCCTCACTCTCATAAATGCTTCCTCTGCTTTCGACGGATTGCTTGCAACCAAGTGTTCTTTCTGATAATTTTAAGATATAATTAAAATTTCATGTATAAACTATTAAACCTGTAACGCACACTTGAACCCCCTTTATAATTACGTCACGCTTAAGACAAGACCCCCTCATTACAATAAGTAAAAATCAATTACAAAGCAGAAACGGGTGATATTAATTGTATTTTTGTTATGTACTAAAAGTACGGACAATTAACGTCATAATTGGGGGTGCGCACTGCACACAATGTTTTAATGAAAGAAGGACGCGTAGTCGAGAATATTTCTGACAAGCCGTGTACACCTCATGGACGACTTAACTGGATTCTAGAAAATAATACATAGATCAGTTTTGAATAATAATTGAATCAACCAGAAGGAATTGTAATCTAATAGATTCAATCACTATATCAGTGCTGACAAATATTTTAATTTATTTAATATTTAACAATTTAAACTTTATTAACTTCTTTAATTTATTTCATTTTTGATTTAATTTGTTAATATGGTAATGTTTTAGTATGAGAGTCAATATAATCAAGTATTTCAGCAAATTTTGAAAGATTTTAAAAATAAATATCAACATTACTTAACACCCCTTCCTTTATGATAACGCAGAGTAACGCTGCCTCAACCCCCCTCTTCACCGTTACGTAATTTGTGGACAATCTCTACACCGTTCAATCCATTTTTTTTCAAAATTGATATTCCACCAATCGATTTGAATAAACAAGAACCCACCGAGTATGAAAGGATATTTTTTTATTTTTGAAGGTACTTTACATAAGCTTCTACATTTTCAATTTTTTTCTCAAAAAGGGCGCATACGTTTTCTATTAAACTTTGTGCTCGGATACCATGAAGAAGGCTTTAAAGAATGATGAAAAATTCACTTAATTTAAAGAGCTTGTTTTTTGAAAATTGCAAAAGTTCAAGTTTTTCGGCGTCTTCCTTCAAGTATAATATCGAAGATTATTTATTCCTTAATGAAATCTGTTCTTTACAAACACACCTTGTCATAAGGTCATATTTAAACTTTTCAAAAATATGAGTAGTTATCCGATTTTTTGTTCAATTTTTTCTACGGAATAACAAGGAATGCTTGAAAGAATGAAACAGATCTCATTTTCGTTGAACTCTGAATTTTCAAAAATTGCAGAAAGTTAATATTTCAAAACTACAAGCCCGCGTTTAGAAGTAAGGCTTCTGGTGAGCAAACTCAGAGGACCTGAGTTCGAGTCTCGGCGCGGGAAAAAATTTTGCTCGTTGAAATCACTTTGGCAGGTTTCTGTAGCATAGTATAGCGGAGCAGTTAGAAATAATGGGATAAAGTACGTAAAGTTATAGAACCAATAGTGTATCTATCTCGTCCACCTTCAGGAAATCAATAAAAAATATTGCCGTGGATTTAACTAAAGTTTTTGAGAGGCTCATATTTCTTTCGATGTTCTCATCAAAATTAAATGAGAGACGCCTATCAGCGGAGATGGCAAGAACGCTGGTAGCACATTTTTACCGCGGCACAAAATAAGAAATAAGCACCATATTACGCAATATGACTTCGTCACATGGCATTTAAGCCCTGCTCGTACCTTGGTGTGTTCTTCCTGGATTGCCGGAGTCTTTCGAGATAATTGAGAAAAGGTACTAACGAGTTCAAATGGGGGACCTTCACACCGTCGATCATCCAATCGATCTTAATTCATTTGTTTGGTTGGTTACAATACAATAAAGAGTAACGTTAGAAACTAGTTGCATAATGAATTATCCATGTCTTAAAATAAAATTGAACACATGCGAATTTTTATGTACTTAATATGTTTTTATCTTTACAGGAATCCAACTCCAGCTCCAGAAAATAATTTAAATATATATTGGCCCTGCTTATCTTCCACTAAAAAAGTGTTCCTCGATATTAATACAAAGCTGAGTATAGGAAGAGATCTTTATAAAGAGAGGGTCGAATTTTGGAACAATCTCTGAATATTAAAATTTATAAGGAATATAATGATGGAATTCAAATATAAAATAAATATTGTTTTTGAAATGCCGTGTTCCAATGCGATTAGAATACCTTAACAGGTCAAAGAAAATGTTAGAAAATGTCAAATTTTCAAATTTGTACAAATGCAAAAAAGTAACTTTATAGACGAGTTGCATACGCTAATTTTGTACAACAGCATTGTATATTTATAAGAGAATAAAACTTCATTTTTCCAAACAACTTTCTTGTGACGTCTCGGATATTTGACATCTGTGCGAGCAAACGATAGTCGGCTTTTCCGTTCACCGCTACCTCTCCAAGATTCTCTCGGGGGTTGGTTGAATGTGTGATAACGCAATAATTCATACTGTAAAATTTAATTAATTCATTTGTGCCATAAAATGCCCTTTTATGAACGATTTCTTGCAACAGAAAATGTTTATAATGCTAGTGTACAAAAAATACTTTAATACAACACGGTAATAAATTAAATATACCAAAACAAACTTTACAAATACTAAAATAACATTCTATGGTAGCTATATACATTACAACAATTCATTTTCTATATCAAGAATAATAAAAAAGTTGCTAATTCATAACGCAACATGTGAATAGTAAACGTTTAATTGAGGGAAGCCTCTTCGTTAGTCTTGTCGCATGAATACAAGAATTCAGTCGCATGAGTATTAGAATTCTGATGGTACCCGGAGTCTAAAGATAGGCGAAATCACACAATTAAATATTTGCATTTTTCAGTCAAAATTGAATCTCTTTAGTACATTTTGTGTTGTTTTTTTTTTCGAGTTTATGGATATCTAACAAGCCCACAGACGTCTCTCACACGGCCAGAGGCTACATAGTTTGCTTTCAATTTCTGGAAGCATTGCAAATTAGTAATACTGGCAGGTACAAAATTCTTTCCTTTTCTTTATTTTAAAAAATAGTAAAAGAATATTTTTAAAAGATGTAGTTAATTACTCCAAAAACAACCTGGAGCAAATAGTAGAACAGATTGTAAGTGTGTATGGAACGGAACGTATACAAGGAACATCATAAAGTTTATTATTATTATCATTATTATTATTATTATTATTATTATTATTATTATTATTGGCGCATAGGCCATTACTGACCGCCCTACACGATTATCGTATGTAATTTTTCCAGGTTCAGCTTTTCAGCTGTATCCCTCATTACGTCAATGTTGCGTCGTGAAGTGTGAATTATGAGGTGATATAATGATGAGGGAACAATCACAAATATGATCGCAGGACTCGAACTTGCAACCTCCTTTCACTGAGTGAAAACTGGTAACTTTTGCTAATACTTAGGTGCTGACTTCTTGCTTCTCTGTTGGTCTGTGGTTCTCTTTATTCATTATTAATGGATCCAGGGTTATAAGGAAATGAGTCTAAATCCTAGTATAAAAATGTATTTTGAGAGTCATAATAGACTCCCACGGATTTAGTAAGTTCTAATCATGCAATTTACGATATCAGAGTAATTTTCCGATCTGTGGTTGCCCAGAAAATTGATACAAAATTGCTTAAATGCCACTCAGTATCAAAGGTAAGAGAGATGACACATAAGCGAATAAAGTGTTTGAAACTCTATTCCATCCATCAACCACACTCAAAGCTACGAGAAAAATCACTCAACGTAAAAAGACTGTATAAAAGATATCGGTAACCTGTTAATGTTGAAAATTTCCGTAAAATTGAACAGGTTTTCCTTCAGAGTTCGAAGTAACAATATATTCAATAGTAAAATGCATTGAATTGTACGTTATCTTATTAAGCACGCATCTCTAATAGCTTCATGTTCAATTCTATACAGTTTAATGCAATCTACATGCATTATGACGGGTAAAAGTCAATTACTGATTCAGAAGACTTATATTATAAATATATAACATTCCATCATTTAAGAAATTCTGAGTGAAGTGTTTTTCAATATTTCATATCAGTCATGCTCATTATCTTCATCATTATATTAATAGTATACGGAAACTGCATTGCACAACATCTGCAATTTCGATCATTATACGAAAAAATTAAAGACATAAACTCGCAATACCGGTGCTATAATAATACAAACATTAACTTTTCTCACCAACAGTATATAGTGTCTGTCCCGTATTCAGAAGACTATAGGAACACAACATCAAAAACCTACAAAGGAACAATTTTAAAAAATTACATCGGAGTTTCTTGGACAAGTAAAGAAGGTGTGAACATATACGACGGGCCAGATCATAAAGTGCTTGAAATACTTCTCAATAATAAAGAAGTGCATCTTCAGTTCACTAAACAAAACACCTATGAGGAATTAATTGAAGCTTTAGTAAATAAAAGTGTAGACTTACTTCTAACTCCACTCTATTATTCTGAAGATCGATATAACAATGCCGATTTCACTACACCACTACTTTCATCGCCTTACTGCCTAGTAATGCGTCGAGAAAATTCATTCAGCATTGTGCTACTTTTACCCTATCAGCCTCTAGTGTGGTTAATTTTGGGGTTGAGTTTCCTATGTGCTGTCCTAGCTTGGGTGGCTGTGAAAAAGCACGGTCGGGTGAGGAAACCTTTGTATAATCAAATCACTTCTCTTTTCGATGCCGTTTTTGATGCCATGCAAATGGTCTTGAACAATGGATATAGTCGCCCTGCTTTTTCTCTGCCGCAAAGGCAGATGATCATTATTCTGATGGTGTTTTCTCTCGTGCTAGGCAACGCATATTCTGGGCAACTTCTCGTATTTCTGGCAGCTCCACCTAAAAGTAAGGATCCCCAAACACTGTTGGAAGCAACATCGAAAATCAACCATATTTACATGAATGAAAATATGGTTAAAATATTTAAAGATATGGACAAAGACATAATCGTAAAATTCAAAACTACGTTGCACCATAAGAGTGACAATACAATTCGAGATATCATCACTAATAAAAAAAGTGGAGTTGTGTTGAATTCAGAACGTTATTTAACTATTTCTGCTTCACCTGTAGGGGAGAAACAAAATGCGTTTCACGTCGTACCAGAATGTTTCGTGTCTCCTGGATATGGTTCTTATCTTATTGTTAAGAAAAGCCCAATTTACGATCAATTGAATCGTATCACACTGGGAATAGTGGAATCGGGTTTGTACACGCATTGGACAGAAGCGCAGACACACGCCAGAGCAGCGAACGGTGCCATCGAATTGCACAATGACGCAAAGGAAGAACCAGAACCTCTTACTTTGAAACAACTCTCTGGAATATTCATGGTGATACAATTAGGTTTAGTAACTTCGATCAGTGCTTTTATCATTGAACTCATTTTCAAGATATCTTACCAAGGGATGATTAGGAAGCCTAAAGTAGTGCAATGAAATGAAATTAAGTCATCTCCTTTGTTGGAGCCTCTCAATAGATGTTGATGTTGGTATTAAGTCGACTTACTCACCGAACTTTTCGAAACAATTATGGTTATAACAGAGGGGTTTCTAGAAACTTTTGCTGTAAGCATATTTTAAATGTTTTAATGTGTTTTCAGCTTCACACTTCAAATAGGTTGAGTACTCGTTAGAATGGTGAAGATGGTGTTGATTAATTATGAATATAAAGATCTGATGAGCGTCGTGGTAATTAACATGTACTTTTTTGTATCAGATAATATGCAACAATCAAGATGCTGGCGTGTAAAATATACGTTTTGTCGTTTTATAAACCCTACACTAAAAACCTACAGATCCTCAATAAAAAACGAGAATATAGAAGAGCTATTTAAATGTTCTGTATATGCTGACATTTGGATCTGTGAGAACGTGAGAGGGCCAACCTTAATTTTGGGATATGCGATGCTTCCTTCCCGAAAGATAGAGAGGACCAAATTGAAGTGTCTATGCGCGCCACTTTGAATTGCGCTCTCTGAGGGCCCCCTAGCGGCAGTGGCACACGACCATGACACGCGCCACCAGCGCTCAGGCAGAGCGCGAGTCTTCACCCGCGGCGGCTATGTAGAGGTGCACGCAAGTGTCGGCGGGCAGTCTACCACGCAGTCAACAGCCAGGCAACTGCGCAGACAGCCACTGGGACGAGTTGGCCGCGCAGGACGAGTGAGGAGCGCAGCTGCCCGGGACCGTACGGGCGCCAGTCGAGAGTCTACCGTTCTACCTACTACCTACCTACCCGTACTACATTGGTTTTCCGCAATCGTTTAAGGCGTACGCCCGAATAGTTCTTTTCCTGCACTCCCACACATAAATGTACAGCTTTCCCCCCTCTTAGTCTCTTTTTCTACTTTCTCTCTCGGGTGTTCTTCTTCATCATCATTTGTGTTTCCCTTCTCTTTCACTTTTCTCCGTAAATGGATAATGTTCACCTCTAAGCCTCCATCCTGATTGAGGTTTTCTGGGTTTACTCAATCGCTTAAGGCGTATGCTGGGATGGCCCCTATTTTTGTACTTCCAGATGTAAATTTACAGCTTGTCCTCTCCTCTTAAATTGCTTCAACTCTGTATGTATGTAAATTCAGTGATTAGGCGCTAGAGCAGGCCCTAAGGCCTCAGCTTCGCCATTAATAAAGGCATTGTTATTATTATTATTATTATTATTATTATTATTATTATTAATATTATTAATATTATTATTATTAATATTATTAATATTATTAATATTATTATTATTATTATTATTATTATTATTATTATTATTATTATTATTATTATTATTATTACTAGACAGTCGAGCGCCGACGGCTTGGAGTAGCGAGTTGGAGGTCGGTCAGCCGCTGCGGAGGCCGAGAGGTCGCAGTGTCGGCGGCGACGGGCTCGCTGGACGGGCCTAAAGGAGCAGCGCACAAACTGTCTGTGCGCGCACGGGAACCTGCAAAGAGAGTTGCCCGCCCTCACCAAAGACGACCCAACCTGGAGGCCGTGGCTCGGGACTGGAGAGCACGGAGAAAAGCGGAAAAGGCGTCTGCATCGCAAGCCCTCTCAGTACTTTGGTTTTGTTCACTGAGAGAGCTTTTTGAGTTGTAAAACTTATTTGGAGTGAATAACAAAACGTTAAGTGGTTGTACACCTTTTATCTACTGAACACTTCACAAATAAAGTATTTGTAGTAGCAATTAGATGATAATACCAAACTGGCTCGTAAAAGATCAGCCCGGCGAATAGTGGAAGAATTGGCCAAGTGCCGCTATCTTAGTTGAGTTTATGGTGGGAATGTCCCACTCTAATTCTATCATCTT